CGTTGAAGTCATCACATTATCAGGTAAATATTACTTTTTGACATAACGAAAATTTTGTATATATATAGCTATATATAATGTTATTATAATTTTTTTGTTTTAGACAATGACTTTGATTAAGAAACAAAACTTATTTTATATGTATAAACATGTATATATGTATGTATTATATGTATTAACCCACAATAAAAATTTTTATATTTTAAATTGTTTGTGCATAAAAATATTTTTTATACTATCCTCTTTTCCTTCTTAGTTTTTAAATCAGATTCGCGTATTTTTCATTTTGTTAAGAAATAATGTAAATTAATAATTGAAGAAAAAGGTACACTGCGACGACTTTTCCTACCGTCTTGCGGCTGAGCGATAAACGCGGCCGCCGACTCGTTCTCTCCGTCGCGCGGGTGTAAATTGCGGCGACGAACAGGAGCTAATTCGCCGAACGGGAGATGCGGAATGGTCGTTGACAAAAACGGGAAAACGGAGAAAAAGATCCACGCGCCAGGTTGGAACGGGATGTGAGGAGTTCCGCGCGTACCGTGACGATACCCGAGAGGTAATCGCGAGAATCGAACTTGAGCGCCAGATACGATCTTTCACGTATCAATTCGCGAGACACACGAAATAAGCGCGAAATAGACGCGAAAGAAATTGCCGGAATTCGCCACGGGCTGACTAGCTCGCCTAACGGTAGAGGGGCAGGACGAGTGTTGATCGAACGCGAGAAATTGTGCAAGAGGCGACAAGTACGTAAACGACAAACACAACTGGAAAAAAACTCGTAAATTAAACAGAGAAATTAACAGATTTATTAGAATAGCGGGAGCCGCAGCTCCTCGAGAATAGTAATGATAAACCGCGCGGATATACGGCTGCGGTAAAAGAAACGCGGCTGCGAGACTGGGTGTTAGACGCGGGGCGCGAAACCCCGTACTGCGCACGCCGAGACCGACCCGTTAGATCGGCCGGAATCTCCGCTCGGCTTGAATTACGCCTCGCACTGCGAAGAAATTGATTAATACGTTCGTCTATAATTCGGGCGTAAGTCCGAATCAATTCTCGATATCACCTCGCCAACGGCGACATTATCGCCCGCTATTGCCGCCAAATTATTAATACGCAACTTAAGATTAACAGGCAATTAATACAACGCGAACATACTTCGATTTCGGACGGACAGATTACGCAGAACTGAATATTCGACACACACACGCACGCAATTCATGCAAGAATCGCGAGAAAACTTTCACAAAACGCGCTCACAATTTCGAGACGCGGTGCTTTACAGCCGATATAATACGTCGAATTTACGCGATTCACACTCTCATGTAACCCATATAATAATCGCGAAGGAAAGTTGCACCGGACGTGCACGCACAGTTTCGACGCGAAGATTCACAAACGAAAGACATAAATAATATAACAAATTGACGCGAATCACACTCACACTCAAACGACCGACATACAGCACGAACGATTTTTTTTTTAATGTGTCATATACATGTTTTGCTACTATACACATGTTTACGAGCAGTCAGATAAAATTAATATATCTATTATATTTCTGAATTATAAAAAGCAACCTTTTTATTTCTTTGATTTCTATTGAACAATATGTATTTGTATATCCTTTTTTTAAAAAAAATTATTATCATTAAAATTAAATTGTCAAAATCTTATTAACAGCTTGAAAAATTCTTCTATTTCCACTGAAAAATAAATGTATATTTATAAATTATTCATAAGACATGCATTAATTTTACACACAGACTGCATTTCACCAATGTTATTTATACTTATCTGTAGTCATATGATGCATGACGAATATAATAAACACAACAACTATGTTTACAGCTACAAGCCAGGACAAATGATTGAACTTGTGGCTAGACTTACTGCAAACCATGGAGGTTACTTCCGGTATTCTATTTGTCCACTGAATCATGGAAAAGAACTGGAAACTAAAGAATGTTTCGCTAAGTATCCATTGAAAATGGAAGACGGCAGCTATAGATATATATTAAAAAACCTCAACAGTGGTGAATATAAAATGAATGCCTATTTACCCAAGGATTTTACTTGTAAGCACTGTGTTCTCAGGTACAGAATACGTAATACATAAAACATTATCAAAAATAATGGTAAAGATAATGTATCTTAGTATCTTAGATTCCAGGAGAGCTATTCGAAAATTATTCCAGTCGAAAACGCGAATTACTAAACAGCAATCTTCTGACTGTGAGATTATCTATATTTTTGAGAGTAATCATACATAGATTTCTTTTGAAATCAGCGTATACCATCGCTATACAACAAAATAGTAATTATTTTTAATCGTAGCATGTATGAAATAGTATTGATAAAATAATTAAAAAATGATATTATTGGTTAAAATTCTGTCCGCGAGAATAATTCTATAATAAATTTACAGAAAATCTTTACAATATTAAAATTGTATATACATATATATATAAATTGATTGATTCCAAAAGTAACCTGATTTTGGCCGTGGCGGATAAAGTTCCGAAAAGTACTCACCCCCGATGTTTTTGAAACTCAGTATTCTTATGTACTGCGGGGGGCTCCACTACCAAAAAACTAGACAAATAGGTTTGCATGGAACCTCGCTTTGCGTGAAAAGTTGCAAACCTATGTGGAATCGTATATGTACTGCGAAGTACATGCTTAGATGGGAGGACAGATATAAGATTTAGAGTCAATCGTTTTTGAAAACTATCACTCGTACGGTAAAAATGAATAGGACATAAAATGTTTATCTCTGTGAGATCTAAAACTTTTGTCTAAAACATTTATCATGATTTTCCGTATTTACTGAGATAAGCGTAAAAAACTATAATTTTTATGGGTTTTTCATGATTTTCATCATGAAAGTCAAATAGTCGCCAATTTTCACTATAATATTCGTAATCAGCGCATCAAAATACGTAAGAATACTGAGTTACAAAAAAATCGGGGGTGAGTACTTTTCGGAACTACACCCCAATATGATATGATAGGAAAATAGCGAAAATCGCATTCAAAGTAGCAGATTTGTAGGAATCTGAATTCGAGAATATGAGTATATAACATTTTCTTACTCTTTCTTTCTCTTCCTACTACCTCGTATCCCACCCCCCTCTACTTTTATTTAATCTAACATCATTCATTTTAATATAAAAAACCAGCCCAACCTAACATCACTCAACCTAATCCAATACAAGTAAACCTGTCCGAAGGTTGGTTTTTTATGTTAAAATGGATAATGTTAGATTGGATAAGAGTAGAGGGGTGTGGGGTAGGAGATAGTAGGAAGAGAAAGAAAGGATAAGAAAATGTTATATACTCATATTCTTGAATTCAGATTTCTACAAATCTGCTACTTTGAATGCGATTTTCGCTATTTTCCCATCATATTATATTGAAACAAATGTTTGATAATAATTCAGCACATCAAAAAATATAAGAAAACATGCATAACAAGGTTCCATCGCCACGAACAAAGTCACGTTACTTTACCAATCGTTCTTTTATAATAATGAAACGTTTTCAAAATTTTATAAAACGCGATTGAAAAGTGATCGAATTAATCCCACTTTGCAAAATTTATTTTTAATAACTCCTCCGTACTCCTCTAAAGAAGTGTAGGCTAGAAAAATATCAGGACGAAGTCGTTACATCAGGAATCACTTATTGTTAGATCACTAGGTAGAATCACCAAAAAAAATTGTACCCTGTGCACAATTAAAAAATTAATATTTTTTGAAATTTATGCTCTACCATTCGCGCGCGGGTCTGGTTCTTATTAACTAGGGAAATTTAAATTATATATCAAAAAATCAATCCCTTATCAAGATTAAAAGAATAGTTTTTGGTTTTCGTAAAACAAATAATTTGTTTTCTTTTATTTATCGCAAAAGTGTTGTAGCTTCCTTTCATGATCAAATATTGCTTTTAATTTACGATAAGATGTTTAAACAGTATGAAAATGGAGGATTATCTTATCTATTCTTACTTTGATGTTTATGGGAAATGTTTGTGTACATGCTTCACATTTCGGTGTTAGAAACTTGCAACGTTTTTAAAAAATTCCCGTGTTTCTTCGAATCATTTGCCAAACATCTTGGATTTGATGTAAATCTTGTACATCATTTATTATTGAGAAGAGTATATTATAATACTTTATAAAATATTTTCATAAAAAAAGTTTTCTGCGGATTTCAATTGATAAATCAGAATAACTAAGCAAAATATAATAATATAATGCTTTATTAAAGTATGTAACAAGAAGATACATGGAACATTTTTTGTAAATATCAGAATGAGAATGTGCAAGATAATCTTTTGTTTTCACATTGCATTTGATAAATAGTAAATAAGCAAATTATTTTCAAACTCGGAAAATAATTATTAAAATCGAAAACTGGTTCTAATTTCTGACAGGGTTTCTTTCGATTTATGTTTACTAAATATTTTTTTCTCAACTTAGTATTATTTACACACATTTTACAAGTCTTAAACATTTTGTTATTTAAACACACACACACACACACACACACACACACACACACACACACACACACACACACACACACACACACACACACACACACACACACACACACACACACACACACACACACACACACACACACACACACACACACACACACACACACACACACACACACACACACACACACACACACACACACACACACACACACACACACACACACACACACACACACACACACACACACACACACACACACACACACACACACACACACACACACACACACACACACACACACACACACACACACACACACACACACACACACACACACACACACACACACACACACACACACACACACACACACACACACACACACACACACACACACACACACACACACACACACACACACACACACACACACACACACACACACACACACACACACACACACACACACACACACACACACACACACACACACACACACACACACACACACACACACACACACACACACACACACACACACACACACACACACACACACACACACACACACACACACACACACATCGTGTATTGTTCAAAAAATCTCGTTCCCTCGACTCAACATCCTTAACGGCCTCTCACTCACTCTTGTCCTTCTCTTACGTACTTTCTCTTTCTCTTCCTTTCCTTCCTGTACGCGGCCTTGACCCAATCCCGAAACCTGTATTATCAATTTCACTTGCCTCGCACGATTCTATCACCCAATCATAAGCCCTCTCTCAAAACCTTATCCGCGCTCCTACATCGATATCGACCCTTCCGGAGATTCTCGATCATTCCGTCTGTACCGGTCTATCGCGACACTAGAACAGTCGATATTAGAACAGTGATAAAACTCTCGGAATTAATAATCAGCTCTCAGCTCGGATCAAGCGATAAATCCATCGATTCGTTTCTCAACGCAATCACTCATCGCGGAAAGAGAATCAGCTACATCGGACGTACTTTAGTTATTCGCGTGTGAGAGACGTGTTTCCATCTTTCGAGAAAGGGACAAGTGCGCCGTTCTCAGCTTGTACATTAACGGTCTTTCTCTCATCGACGGCATGATCTCTTCCGGGTTTTCGCGAACGTTACGGCTGTGAGCCTTCGGCTAGCCAAAGATTAGTTTATTTTCTTTAATTGTTTAACCGTTCGTTAACCCTCTTTCTTTATTCCGGTTAGTCTCAAAGACAGATAATCTACGCAATACGCGACCACGTTTTTTTTTGTTCTTTCCTTTTCAATTTCGTTTGCTTTTGATAATGCTTTTTTTCAAATGGCGCCATTTCCAAATCGATCATAAAAATTTGACAAAAAATTTTCAATTTTGAAATCATGCACAGAATTGAATTTTTTTTTGTTTTGCTCGAGTTACTCTGTAAGCTTAATATTTCTTCTTTAAAATAATTTGTTAAAAATTTTGTTATGTAATTAGTAATTATAATTTAAAATAATGGTAAAACTACGAAATAGGATATCAAGCTCGAATCGTCTTGTGTTTGCAGGGAGTTCTATTTAATGTACATAATATGCGATAATTACATGTAATTTGTAAAACTTCCTTTGTTTATAACTTTTTAATAAACAACGAGTGACGGCTAAAATTTTTTGATGCTTTCTCAGGATGGGGACTTTGACAACATATGTCAAGATTCGAGCTTGGTTTCCTATTCTCTCTGTTTTACCATAATAATTAAAGAATTTTTAGTTCTTGTCAGTTGGAATTCAATGTGTCCTTAAGATTAACGTTATGTGAGATTTTACGAGATTGCGCAGTTGTTTACAACTTATGATTTTCTTCTACAAATATTATTTTTTTTTTTTAGTGTTAACATAATACATAATTTACTTTCCAATTTTATTTAGTACAATTTTAGAACTGTTTGGTATTATTCGTATTACTTTTCTTTCAAAAATACCGAACCATCATTTTTTTGAAGCTCAAATCACTTAGATTGTTGCTTTCCTACAAGCAAGGAATAGTTAGCATTATATCGCAAGATATCGCAAAAATATGAATTATAAATTACATTCGGTTGTCAATCAAATTTAATTCCATTATCAAAAAATTCAACTTTAAACGATGAAATCAAGGTCATAGATTGTTCGGGAGTCGATCTCGACGAGATCGCCCGAAACTGAGAGAGACGTTCAGAGATGAGCGAGAAACGGTGTGTTACGCAAATCCGTAGATCCGCTGGAGGATAAGGAGATTGAGAAATGAGTCGAGTGCAGATGTTAAGAAATGTTCCTTTTTATTTTGAATAATAGGAGCGAGCGACGGCACGTATTCCGCGATTCCGACGGAGATCTTCAAATGTCCTGTTAATGTTTGCCCTTTTTCGCGGTTCGGAAATCTTGATTAAGAGCTTCTTGCTAGAAACTCTCGCGAGAGCGGAAATCTTGCACGCGAACGCCGGGTGTTGCTTGGCGCGAGGCAGAGGGCATTCGCGGAACGGTTAACGCGCGTCGACTCTCGGACTCCACACTCTTAACATTTAACTTTCACGATGTCTTAGCACTAACTGAATGAATAATAAAGTTTGAGATATGACCGAATTGACCGCCGCGAGAATATGAATGCGATCGTATGCGAGACAATTCGGACCGATTTTGAGACGAGTAAGCCTACTGCGTACGCGACACGAGCGAGAATAAGACACGAAAGAATATCATACGAGAAATGATGATATTCGAAACTATGATCGATTGCTATCGACCAGCTCGAATCGTTGTCGTAGGCAGACTAAATCGACCGACCGCGGAAACTCGCGCTCTGCCGAT